TTCTAAAAGCATTTCCAACATTTTCTTAGCAGACACTGAATTAGAATTTCCAATTGCTACAGTATTACATAAAAAGTCTATTTAAAATTAATTTTAGTCCATGTCCTGACAGAGAGATTTTCCATTGTTCAACTTCCTAGTACCAGCACTGTTCTTCACAGTGCAGAAATAATTCAAAACACACAGAGTCACATCAGCATTCTGTTGAGTCCTACATGTTCTAGCAAATAAAACAAGGTGGTTTGACAATCACAGATATTGCTTAATCTTTCTGGATAAATAAAAGCCAGTAAATTTAAGTATTATATTTCATTTTGTACAATATTGTGGGATTTATTTTAATAAAATGAACTCTAAGGTCTAATTGATTGGTTCCCATCTGTAATTTAGAGAAAGATTTTCAAAGGCATGAAAGCCTATTAAGAACACATTTAATTGATTTTCTGAAAGAGCTGAGGTCTTGATGCAGCATTTACTGCAGTCAGCAGTGAAATTTCCATTGATTTAAATGAGAACAGGTTCATACCTGCAGAGACCTAGCTGCTATTTATGCATGTCACAGTAGTCCTTCCATAGCTAGAGATTTCTTCCCTTTGTTTTTGTACAAATAATCTACACACTTTCGTACATACACTCAGTATAATTTACTTTATATTAAGAATACAAAAAAGTCACATTTCCAAAGGTAATGAAAGTTTTAACACTGAAGAGTGAACACAGTGCAACTGCCAGTTTTATGATGCCTTTCTTCACAGAAGTCAATGGCATTATTTATGAGTAAAACAACCAAAATGTTGAATACGTAGCTTAATTACTAGATACTAAGAAGATTAGTCAAACAAGTTTGAGCAATTATAGGTAGAACTATTGTGTTACTGCTGTAAAAGAAAGGAAAATGTTATGAAAGATTCAATGCTATCAATAAATGAAACACTGATTTTATTCTGGTTTATTCAGCAAAGAAATGCAACTGAGTATTTTTAAAGTATTTCTGTCTATGGAATAAGGCTTTTCAGAGAATTGTCTCACTGATATGTGCAAAGATCAAAAAGGGGTGGTAGTGTTAGCATTCTAAATTCATCTAGATGAAACAATAAGATAATTAGGTGTAAAAAATGCACAGTCTTGTGTTCAATGCAGTAAAGGATCAATTTCATCTAAAGGCAAGTGGAGTGTACACTATATCATCTGATCCAAAGGAGTGACCTTCTTGATTCAAATGCAAAATGCCTGTGCCTATTGGAGATGGAATTTACCAGGACAAAATGTTCAATAGAAAGATTACATTTCCACTGGGGCAGAAAGGTATTTGTCAGTGTCTCATTACAGCTTTGATACAAATGTCTTGGATTTCAATTAGCTTTGAGATAGAACAATAATCCAGCATTGAAACTGCCGACAAACCTTTGTTTCTTACACCATTGTAAGAAATGTGTATTTTTGTTTAATTTGCAGTAAGATATAGTAACATTTCCAAAAGAAATAAATACAAGTAAATAACATTCCAGCCATTTTAATGTCAGCAGTATCACTTAGTGATTGTCTGTCTGATAACTTTGCACTAGGAGGCAAGGGTGACATAATTTACATTTTTTCCAGCATAAATGAAAAGTGCTGAATTCTTTGAACCGTAAGTGTCCCATCAGTTCTTCTACCCTCACTGTCCCACCTCCTATTATTAACATACCATATCCACTGTGATGCTTTTGATCCTTTTCTATGAAAAGCAGTTTGCCTTCCCAATGGAAATACAAAATTTTCTTTAGTGCATATCAAGAGTTCAAACAATGGCACATACAAATTTCCACCCTATGGAGGTCATGTTTTAACTTCACAAATTTAGAGCTTGCCTTCATTTAAAATGTTAATACTGTTTGATATTTAAGAAAACTTGTACGTGCTTCTGAATTGATCACAGGACTAGGAGATGGAAGGGCAAACTTTAACCATCAATTGAATATCTGTGGCCAATTTTGAGTTAACTCCTGTAAAACTGTATAGTATTTGTCACCTTTACTTCACACTTGTGTCACAAGGGTAACTGTCAGCTTTTGAAATGCGTCAGGTAGAAAAGCTCAGAAACCACATTGCTATGATTCAGTTGTTGATTTCCTTGCTAGGAAGAAAGTTATGAACTATTCTGTGGAGGAAGGCCAGTCCTCCAAAAGGCTTCCTCCTTGGAGATCTGCCCCCTAGAATAAGACAAAAGGACTTAGTCATGGTGACTAAGCTGTGGACCCCTTCCTGCTTCGGGACCTCATGTTATCTCCCTGTAAACTATTGGTCATTTTACCCCGGTCTTAAACCATTGGTCCTTTTCCCAATTCTCCCCTTCCCTATAAAAATCCCAGCTTTTGCCCAGTTCAGTGGAAGTCTGTCACTGGTCCCCTTTGCTGAAGCCTGCCAATAAAGGACTCTGCAGAATGCTACATGGCCTCCCATCTCTCGTCTACACATTGGCCGAGGTAACCCATGAACGGAGCTGGGCTGAGCTGAGCTGATCACAGAGCTGAAATTACATCTAAAAGAGCTGATCACTTGAAGCCTCAGACTGTGCTCATAAGGGTTATCCTTGGCTGGAAACTGCCAGAGACCCCTGGACAGCCGCTCCTTGATGGATTTTAGTGTTCATCTTTCCATTGAGTCAAATCGTGCCATCTCCTTTCTGCTCAAGTGTTTTGTAAATATGGAGCTTGGCTTCTGCTAGTGACAAATGCATTTTCAACTATCTACTGCCTTGCAACTTATGTTAAAAGTAAGGATTTAAGCTAAGAAATAGGAGATGTACTGAGAAAAATTTCTTATGAAAAATTGATGATTATGTGTTTGCTTTATAGTTTAACTGCACTCTGAATGCATGTAATTTTTCAGGCCTTCTTCCAACACATTAGCAAGTTTCTTATGAAAGAACCAGAAAAGGAACAAATTTCTGTTTTCAGTAAAATGACTCCATGGCCCCAGTCTTTATGGAACAGATCTGACTGCTGCTGTGAGTCAGTGACTCAACTAAGCTCAAAACAATGTGAAAGTACTAAAATTTAACAGTTACAGCAGGGAAAAAAGTGCACACTTTCTGCCTCCTTATTTATGCTCTTATCTTTCTGGCTAGTAATGCTAACATAATCTATACAAAAGGAATCTGTTATCGTCTTAACAAATATTCAAACATATTTTCCTCTTTTGATGAGTACACAAACTTCCATAAAGGCCAGTGGGAAACAGGCTGCACAAACTGAGGGCAGAATACAGACTAGCATACAACACATCTGAAAGTAGCTCCTTTGGGCTGATCTCTTGGCAGTTCTCCTACTCTCTCATAAAACCACTTGAACTAGTGCAGGTTTTGGTGAATTACAGTATCCCTTAAGAAGCTCTCATTATCTCCTGTCTTAACCACATAATAGAAAAAAATTGAGAGTACCATATGGAGACCACACTGAGAAAGGAGAACTTGGAATTTTTCAGCTGGTAAACCTATTTTCTGTAGTGCTTGGCAGGGAATCACTCTCAAGTGCTGGACCATTTACTAGTGTGTGTTTTGTGCCAAAGGTTAGCAGACTGCAAAAGGGTTCTCATCTCAGAAAGGACCCATCATTTATCATCAGCTTATTTTGACTTGACAGAAAAAAAATTGTCCACCTATCAGGAACAGGAAAGAGGGGAGAAACTTACAAAATGTATGAAGGTTATTAAATGATCAGAAGACATCTAAACAACAGAGAGTTTTTCTAAAATTTTTAAGGTACAGTAGGAACTCTGACTCACATGGAACACTGCAGTAAATAATCAACACTGATTCCTGCAGCAATTGAAGTTTTCCTCACAGATATCCCAGCAAAGTACCAACCAACCTAAATATAAACCTGTTCAGTTTATTATACCTAACAGGATTGCAACAAAGCTGGACTGCAAATGAAGCCTTTTTCCAGGGCTTGTCGGGACAAGTTTCAAAAATACACTCACTGGGCATAACTATTTGTAGATCCAGTCATTGCAAATAAATGATTCCAATTCTGTAGTAGAAGAAAATTTAACCTGCTCTGAAGTCAATAGTTACTGCCTCCAAAAGCTTCATTTCATAGGGTGTAGTGAACACATGCTCCACTTGAACTACAACAATCTTCCCTATAATTCTGCTTTGCTAAGCACAGTTCTGGCAGATCAGCAGGTCGGGGGACCTAGCACTTCACTGAGATAGAAGTCAGTAGCACTAGCTCAGCAGTTGCCAAAATCAGGTACAGGATTTTGATATAGGTTTCCACAGGGTACAAATGACAATATAGTTATTTATTTAGGACGAGTGGAAAAGAGCAAAGTCACTTGCTACCACTTTGGTGCTGTATCAAAGCGAGCTGTGTAACTTCACTCCTGCACGGCGCTCATGATGGGAGCTGCCGTGTCGCCGGGGCAGCCCAAGGCCACCGGCTGACAAGCACAGAGCACCACCTGCGGTGGCCATTTTGCCACTGGCCTGCCGCTCACACCGCATCAGGCTTTTATACTCGTTATCCCCAGGTCACTGGAGGGATTATGGCTGCCGGCCGCACGTGGGCCCCGGGGTTAAAACCGTATAGTTCCATCAGCGTCAGCATCGACACGAGTGGTTTTCACGGTCGGATGCGGGAGGGGGCTAACGTGGATCGTCCCTCATTGCCCGGAAGCTAAAGCAGAGGCGAAGGTGCTGTCTCCCACACGGATCCTGCCACGGCCCGCTCCGCCCTGCCCAGCGCCGCTGCCGAGGTCCCCGTGAGGGGAGCTCGGCGCGCGCCCCCGCCATCAGCTAAACTGGGCACGGCACGCATGAGCACGCGCACTCCACGGCAGGCGGTGGCGCTCTCTCCCCGCGCGCCCTCTGATGTGTCCTCATTCCAGAGGACTACGACTCCCATCATGCAACACGCGCAGACGCTCCGTGCCCACGCCCGGGGAACACCGGAGACGAGGCCCATCCAGCGGTGCGCGCTGCATGCTGGGTGTCGTTGTTCTCCAAGCGGCGTCGCCAGTCACCTCCCCGCGGGAAAGGGTGTGGCGCCGGGCCTCGGGAACCGCCTTGTCTCCGAGTCGCTTCGCTCTCGTTCCCCGTGTTAATTCCTTTCTGATTGCCGGTCGTGACGGTGCGGACGAGGGGGGCATTGGGTGTTTTACTGCACAGATCTGCGAGTCCTTCCGCAGTGCCCATAGATTTCTGCTCATCCCGCAACGCCTTCGGAACTGGTTTGACCCTCGGCGTCTGCCATCGGCAGTCGCCTGCCAGCTGTCGGCGCCTTTGTGAGGCGGCGGAAGGGGTGCAGGGCCGAGGGCGGCGGGCGCAGGGCCGGAGCCGCGGACAGGTGCGCGGGGGGCCGAGCCGCGCCCAGCGGGTGGGTCGGCCCGGGATTCAGTGAGTGGGAGAGGCTGGGAGTGCTGCTTGCTCCCGGGCCGCGGGGCGGGGTGCGACCCGGTCCGGCCTGCCGGGCGCTCTCCCCGGGACGGCCCCTGTGGGATTTGGGTGGGGACTTTGGTTCTGGCGGCACCAGGTTCGTACCGCGGTCATCTCCTGGCGGGTGCGGTGGGCTCCCCTCCCCTCGGGTTCCCTCGGTTTGTGCTGCTTCGCCTCCCCGGGCAGGCACTGGACGGGCGGGAATCCACGGTGTGACAACGCGCTTTCCTAGTGCTTTTTAAAGGGACACGAGAATGCCATTTGAAAATGCTGACTAGATTATTTTTTTGTTAGTACTTTAGTGCTAACAGACGACATGAAGGAATACATATATTTATTCCAGTATACATATTGGTAAAATGTGGGGTTAGACGTATGAGGCTTGCAACATTTTGCATCCATTTCTGTGCTTAGCTGTGCTATGCAAACACTTGCAAGTATTCTTTATTTTGAATTAGCACATGGTCATATTCCTAGTGCTTAATCTTGTATCCTTATTGTTAATCTTACTGTAAAAGCATTTATAGTTGCCTCATTTGTTGTAGGACCACTTGTGCATTTTTTTTCCTGACTTGACTTTGCTTAAAACCAGTAAAATTAAGTTCTTCACCTAACCCTTTCACACAGTTTTTCTTACCTTGTTCTAAATCTCTGTGAAGTACTAAATTTACAGGGTTTCCACCTTTTGTTGTTGACCTTCTTGTTTGTATTTGAGTTAGTTACATAGCAAAACTTCTTGCAGCATTTTTTGTCTTTAAATGATCCACCAATTTATTAGCAGTGTAATAGTTTTGAGAAAAAAAGTTATAACACATGTGTTTTATAGTTTTCTTTGACCACCACACTTGTACTTACATTGCCTTATAATTTATGGTAATCCTGCTAAATGTTTTAATAAATCTTTACTTTGAACTATATAATTGTCTGTAGAAGGTTATATAGCTTACATACTGTTAAGTTATAGAATGCCAGTATTTAGATGTTGAAGTGAAAAGTGAAAGAGAAATATTATCTTGCTGCTTTTCTTGCTGTTTTCAGTCATGAATGGCTAAGGTTTCTTCCAAAGTAGTTCCTTCAAAGAGCATCAGACCTACCTTAGAAATGGATGCTGTCATCATGTCATGGTTCTATCTGTTTTAAATCAATCACTTTAGTATTGAGAATGTGTTATGTGAAAGAAAAACAGAAATAGGAATGTGGGGTTTTTTTGTTTATCATTGATTTTTCAGGTTTCTGATAAGCTGGTTTTGGTAAGTTAGTGTAATTTCTTTGCAGATAGCTTCTGGAAAGAAAAGCTGCAATCTTAAAAACAAAACCAAAAACAAAAAACCAGAAAAAATCCAAATAGATCAAAACAAAACAAAGGCCAAACAGTGACGTGATTTCTGTTGATCAGTGTTTCAGCCATGTCTGACAAAAGTGAGCTGAAGGCGGAGTTGGAGCGCAAGAAGCAACGATTGGCTCAAATCAGAGAGGAGAAGAAGAGAAAGGAGGAAGAAAGAAAGAAGAAGGAAGTAAGAAATAGTTTTCACTTTGAAAATTGACTTGCATATGTAACGTGACAAATTCACTTGCATATGTAACTTGCCCAGAATTTAAGAGTAGGTTCACATAATCATTTTCTATGTCCTACTCAGGGAGTGTCTATTTAATGGTTTATGCTAATATAAATGTAGCACTTTCATTTTCTGATAATGTAAACACCTACTGTTTTCTTTTCAACTGTCCATATGATAAGCTGAATTAAAAAAAAAAAAAAAATTGGTATCTTAGACTAGCATAAAGTTCAGATTTCTAGAACTATCTGTGTGCATGTGACATAATTAATCAAATCACTCTGATCCATTGCATGAAAGCTCTGCTTAATGAATTGTGAGTTGTGTTATTTAAAAAACTAATTTCTGAAGTACAATTCTGAGGATGTCTGTAGGAATTATCTGACTGTCAGTATTATCATAGTACAAACAATGTGCTGTGTTCTTCTGCTCTTTGGCCTATCTATAGGCTGAATTTTAAAATTAGAGCAACACTCAGGATATATGTGGTACTTGTGTGTTACATTTAGTTTGTTAACAGTCTTCTGGATTTCTCACTGCTGAAGTATATAACAATCAGAGATAGATTACTGTTTCTCCTGAATGCAAATTGTATCTCCTAAAAGCAACTTTTGGTCCTGTGTTTTGGGATATTTTCTTATTGCTTCTCTGTGTTTTGGTTATGATCTAGCTGGTGTTCTGAATCAGCATATGACGGGAGACTGGGCAGCTGCCAATACGATTCAGACAAAAATGAGAAAGAAATTGCTCAAATTATGTACTAATGATCTTGTAGCAGTGCATTGCCAGAATTGCTTTTTAAAAAGCAGCTAAGAGTGGAAAGATACAGAGTATGCAGCATCTTTTTTAATAGAGCTTGCACTATTTCTAAATGAAAGAGGGTGGAGGTGTACTTTTTTTTGTATCTAGCAGACAACTAAAAGAAAGTTACTTTTTCTTGATACAGTTATTGTCCTTTTAAAATAGGAACCATATGACTGTCTCTAAAAAAAGATAATCTTATGAAGTGCTAGTCATTTTGGCAAATACACAGACACTTTTTGCATGTTTATATATGTACTTTAATGGCAGTACCAAAGCTTTGGAACATTGTTATTCCTGTCTATTTACTTCATCTACAAAAAAGAACCATCAGAATTATTGAAATTGAATATCAAACCTACTTGATGATAGGTTTCAGTATTACAAAAACACCCTGTGGGGTCTCAAAATAAATGAAAGATTAAATGCTATAACTTAAATAATTTTTAGACTGACCAGAAGAAAGAAGCTCTTCCAGTACAAGAAGAATCTGATCTTGAAAAGAAGAGAAGAGAAGCTGAAGCATTACTTCAGAGCATGGGGTTGACACCTGAGTCTCCTGTTGGTAGGAATGTTACTATTTGAAATAAATGTTTAGGAGTTTTTTATTTAATCTTTTTTTTGGGGGGTTTTTGGGGCTTTGTGTTGTTTTGGGTTTTTTTTTGGGGTTGTTTGGTTTTGTTGGGATTGAGTTATTTATGTCATTAACATAATAATTCTCTGGCCACTTTTTCGGGGGTTAAACATGTTTAGGTTTTATACTCTTTTGTCCTTCATGGTCTGTTACAAATGTCAAATTATGTGCTTCAGTACACATTACATAACATAATATTTATATTATAAAATAACACCATTTACACTTAGTGGATTATTTGAAGTATATTAGTTAAAATATGTAAGTATCATGTATGCATTTTCTTTCCCCCTGCCCCCCATTTTTCATGGTTTTTATTATCCTGTATTTTTTTTTTCTTACTCTTTTCCGCAGTGCTAAATTTTAATGCTGCTAATTTCGTAAGGAGTTGGCTTACTGCAATTCTTTTCTGCATCTTTTACACCCTAATTTTTCTTATCTCAAATACCTGACTGAGTTTGATGGGGCAATAGCAACACTAAGTATAAAAATTAGCTTCCAAGGAAGATGATCGGTATCTGTGCAGCTTTTGGCTGTGTTAGTATCTTGGCTCTTGCTTTTTGCCTTTACTTAGGCACATCTCTATGGAAGATGAAAGCAAGAAACATGATAATGCAACTGTGTCTTTTGTCTCCAGCTCTGAAATCAAAGAGGTTTAAAGCTTATCAGTTTGGCTTCTTGGTGGGGCTCTATTTAACTGTTTTTTAAATAAAAAATAATAATAATTTCTTACAGATATATCTGTGATTGTGTTTTCATAATTGCTTTTGTGTAACCCTCAAGTGTTCGGAAGTGAACACCATTATAGCTGCTCACATTCCAACAGCCCCAGCAGTCAATTTTGGTAATTCAAACTGTTTTAATAGTTGAGAGACTCCATTTCCCTGTGTTAGCACCAGTGTGTAGCTGTTTAAGTGACCAGCTGCGGATTTTCTTGGCTAGACTAGTTGAACTAGTTGAACACCTCCCTTGCATGATATTGTGCTAAGCAGCTGATGAACTTTTTGTAGGAATGTATGTGGTTGTTGCTTTTTTTCACATCTAGCAGAGAATGTAAAAGCCACAGAATAGCCAGTCCTCAAAGCAAGTTAATGTGTATACTTAGAGTAGGTGTTCATGAAAAGCTCAGTGAAAAAAGCTCAGTGAAAAGTTAGTGCTTTTGGTATCTACCATACTTACTATATAAGAAGCCTTAAGTAAGTGAACCAGAATTATTTTCAAAAAGTCATTATTGTTTAATCCTCTGGGGTAGGTGAAATTCCATCTGGTCTTTTTGTAAGACTGTCGGTCATTCAGTGGGATTCACCTCTTTTTGGGAGGGGTTTCCTGAGAATGGCTTTCCCCGCAAGAGAGCGCTGCAGCACCGGCACTGGGCCCTGCGGGTGGCGCCGGGGCCGTGACATTACTGTGTCCTGAAAACGCACACAGATGGCAAAGCAAAGGCCTGCGGACAGCTCCTTTGCTGTAGATTAACCAGTACATGGCGAGGATGAGTTGAAGAATTTTTGTATTCTTATGTGCCCCCAGTTATCTGAAGTCTAAATGTGTGTATGTATGAAATACAACTCAAGACCTATAAAAAAGGTCTCTCCTGTAGGAGGAATGAAATTTTCATACATTGAAGAATTCAGTGTTACTTTGGTAAAATTAAGGGAATATTTTTGTCAATCAGAGCCATGTCTCTGTTCTGAGATGGGGTAGAAAAATTCTCTAGAATTCATAATATACTTGTGATTTCAAGAAATTCTGTAGAAATTTCACAGAGTTCAGAGTTCTCCCATGCTTAACTGTTGAAAGAGTACACAACAGTTTATATAAACTGTTTATATTTTGTTCAGTTGATTAAAGGCTTTTTTTAAGGATTGCTAAACAGTGAATGCTTTACATATTACTGAAAAACCAAGCATATGAAAACCTTCAAAGTACCCCTTGATTCTTGTGTTTAAGCCCTAAGTTTCATTAAAAAATGACCATTTCTAAAAAGAAAGGTTGAAAGACATACCAAAGTAGCATTGTATTTTTCTTAGATTGCATGATATCATTCACTATGTATCACTTCCAGACAGCATGTTACTTTTCAAATGGTAAATGCAGTCTTCATTTACAAGCAGAAAGTGAACTGACACTTAGGAAGTTTAAATATAGTGGTCCTAGACTGTTTATTGTCAAGCAAAAAAAAAAAAAAGTCATTCTCAAGACCTAATACTAGAACCTTTTTAATACACAAGATTTATGTTAATTTGATTCAAGCTAGAACAAAAATAACAGGATGCTGTATGACACAGCCACTTTTTTGGCCCACAGTTTGGTGATTATATATTTTGAAATAACATTTCCAGTTAAACACATTCATTGTCAAATCTTTAAGAAAGACTAATACCAGAGCTGTAATAACAACTATCTTTTCTATGTTTAAGCAATATGAATCAGTGGAAATTACCCTTTGAAAACCAGTATCATCATTTGTCAAAAGTTCAGTTTAAAAATATTTTTTTTCAATACATTTTCTCTTAAATGTCTTCCCCTCCATGTCTTTTGTATGCTCCAGATGCATAAATGCCAAACAACTGCATGAAAGTCCAGCATGAATTGTTAACATTGTCTTTTCCCCTCTCTTTCTACTGTTCATTTTCATCCATGTATTTTTTGTTTGCCATCATTTTTTTTTTAATACTTCATTTTTAATTAATTTGAAAACATCCTAAGCTGTGCAACCTCTGCGAGTAGTAACAGCGGATACCTGTCTGTTTCACTATTTAGTCCCTCCTCCTACCTCTCCGTCTTCCAAATCTGTGAGTACGCCAAGCGAGGCTGGGAGCCAGGACTCCGGGGATGGTGCTGTTGGATCTAGGTATGTCACTTTCCTGGTCCTGTTCCTTTGCTCATTACTTGTATTCTGAATAATTAAGCTTGAGAAGAAGTCAAGGTTAACTACTTGATAATAATAATTTGAGGTTACACTATTGAATCTGTCAAAAGTGACTGTTTTACGGAAATATTTTACTTTAAAATTTGAAATGTGACTATACTTACTCATTTGAAGTTGCCAGCATTGATGTGGAGTTGTTTAAACTTGCAAGTTTGAAGTAAAATGATTGTCTTGGGACAACAACAAATTCAAAGGGTTTAACTTCTACGCTCTTCCCCACTTTTTCTAGAGGAGGATGGGTATGGATTGCTGTTTGCTTTTTCCCATACCTAGTTGATCTAATAAAAGATACAGTCTACAAACTTCGCATTACTTCTGATTTTTTTTCCCCTTACTAAGAACCATATTTCTCATTATTTTAATTCATCTGTGTAGTACAACTACAGCATTTGCAATCTCTTATTTTGTCAAAGCTTAACTCTATCTTAGTACAGTCACAGTTTTTCTGGTCTTTCTTCAGTGCAAGTGCTTGTCACAGGTGTTTAACCATTTCTTTGAGCATGATGATTTGAGACATGCTGCTCTAAAGAAGAGTCAGATAAATATTTCTGTTAAATTTCAAGTGGTGATATATGGGTGATAAGGCAGGAAAACACTACTTTCAAAGGGTATTTCTACTGTTTTCCATGCAGTCTGCAAATAAGAGCAGTAGCTGCCTATTAATATTGGTAAGATACTCTCATCAAGAGAAGTTTGTGTACTTTAAATTTAGTAAGTATACACTGTGGGTGAAGATTGGTTAAAGCACAGTAACTGCACCAGTTATCAGTTACTCTTGTTGTATGAGTAGTTGTTTTGGAAAAGGAGTCAAAGATTAGACCGCTTTGAAACATCTTTAAAGAGACTGCAGTAACATCTTGTGTGCATGTGGATTATGCATGCATAACTATATGCATCTTAATCTGAAAATATTCAAGATACTAATGACCTGAACAAAGGTTATGTGGTGCCTATTTCTAAGTAGAAATCATTAAGTTAAAACAGAGAATACATCAGACAGCAGATGTAAACCCAGACTTTTTTTTAACAGTGCTCAGTTAAGATTTTGTTTGCCTGTTGTGTTATTAACCAATATAATTGTACCTTAATTGAGTAGAAGCAAATTTTAATTGTTTTAAATTGTTGTTTATTTCTTATTAAATTGCCTTTTTATATATTTATATATGTATTTATGTTCGCTAGAACAAAAAAGAAAAAGTATTTGATGATGACTTTTGAAAAGAAAATATTTTCTTTCCATTCACACCTGATGATTTAAATGCTGATTTAAATTCAGCATGAAACAGTATGTATAGGCCACATACCTGTAATGGAATACCATGTTGTGTACTAAATTTATTTCCACCTCATCAGTGCACTGCACGCTGACTGTGTATTCTCAAACTTAGTAATGCAATGTTGTGTGCATGCATTTTCTTATGAAGCCTTGAAAAAACCCATATCCTGAGTCTCAAAAGCTTAATGCATTTTCGAACTTTAAAACTATGTGTGTCTCAGGATTGTGATCTTTAAGGCATGAAGGTATGAATATACAGCTAAATTGAAGGCATTATGGAGACCCTGCTGGAGTCCCCCCACTCCCACCAGTGGATTCTTCCCTTGCCCCAGGAAATGGGTGTCTTTATCCTGGCTTATTAGTACAAGTTCATACATTTTGAGCAAGAAAGTTGGACTATATGATATCCCTTGGTGTTACATATGGCATTTCACTCCTACCAATATGAGATGTTTTATAAAGCAGCCTCTGTGATGCTGAATCTTGTCAGGAACTCTTCTAGCAAGTAGTAGAGCAGTGTTCAGACTGTGCTCCTGCTGTTACTTCCATCTGTCTTTATTTTCATTAGTAAAGAGTTTTGTTTCTTTCTCTTTTTTTCCTCAGTCAAGAGTGCAAGTCCTACACTAGAAAAGAAAACAGCTAGTTTACATTTAGGCCAGTGGATGTTTCATAGAATTAGTTTAAAAACAGAAAATATTCTAAGAGATATAGGAAGTGTTAGGAAAGTACCTGAATACAGAGAAATCTAGACATATGTGGAAGAGTGGGAAATTTGTTCACTGAATCTTGTAGATAAATTCATTTAACTGAAGGCAAAACAAACTGGAAAACAAAAGAAACAGTATTTTGCATCATTTTGGTACATATATAATAGGTGAATTTTATCTTAGAATCTTACCTTTATTTTAATAGAGTATCTCTGAAAAATATTTAACTGTATCTCCTTTACTACTTGTTAGCTTCAGCTGTTTGAAAAGATAGACTGTCTCTGGTCCAACTGAAGCAACTTTTGAAAGTGAAAATAGTGCTTTGAAAGCAGGAAAGCTACGTCATTAAGGGCTAGATGTTAAACAGGTGCAGAAGTTGGAGCATTTTATGTTTATGGCCTTTTCCCCAAGTTCCTCTCAAACACAATTGAAAAAGCTGAGAAAATATTTGACAGGTATTGTGGTGATGCAGCATCTCTATCTGAAGCTAAGAAAGCTTTTCTTTCCAACATGTAGATTGCAGTGGTGGTTTGGTTTTGCTTATGATTGAGCAACACATAAGCAATACCCAGCTTCAAGTCTCAGGGACCAAATTAAACTCTTAAATCTTTCTGGTCAAGAAAGATAGCAGAGATCTAGTGAATAATTATGCTCAAAGAAATTAACTTTAGACTAAAATGATGTGTTCTCTGATGCACAAAAGATACTAATTTTTTTTTGAGATTTGAGTATTAAGCTATTGCTGTGGATGCAATTGATTGGCTATATATGAAGACGGTGGATTTGTAATTCCTAATTAAATTATGATTAATAGTCCTAATGCATACTTTCCACACCCATATTTATGAACTTTTATGGCATTTTGTATATATTTTTCAGATGAACGTTAGGAATTCTGCACCTGATTAATAGAAAAGTTACCATGTATGGGATGAAAATGTAAAATTGTCTTTTATTGAGTTAGCATAGTAAAATACTGCATAGTCTTTATTTTTTTATTCAGAAACATTATTTTAAAAAATGCAGATAACTTATGAGAATGTCAAGAAAAAACATGCAGGGTAATCCGCTAATTTCTTACAAGTGTGTTCCTAAAATTCTGCCTAAGCCTGATAGCCAGTAGACTGCATGAAAATTTCTGAAGAAGAGATGAAGGCGAAAAATGAAGGTAGAGGGAATATTGATTTCCCCCTTCCTATTTCTTCTAGTACAACTTGAAATGGATCCATTCTGTTTGTTATTCTACATGACTTTGAAACATGTTATTAATATAAAGCCCACAATTTATAAGAGATTTTAAGTGTCTTAGATGGAGTTGGCTCTAACTCAGATGACACTTACAAGCCCAAGGCAGTGCTTAACCCATAATTACTGCAATGTCACATCTTGGAAACTCTAGCAGTTCTCTATCCCAGTGGAAATGGTTTTTTGCCCCACTACCAAAAGGCTTATGTGTTGGCTCACTTCCTTTACCAATATGACAGTTTCCTCCACATATTTACTGCTCTGGGCAAGTTTATGTTATGTTAACAAATCTGTCTTCATATAACTTGAACAAATCTGAACATGTTTTAAAAGGAATTTCAAGTTTTTAGTGGTTCTTATAAGTAGTTAAAATACTTTTGTTTGCCTTTCATTAAGGCAATGTTTGTTTGCAGACCTTTAATTTTCAACCTTTAAAATAATTCTTTGCTAATAGCTCTGAATTCTACTTGCTTCTTAACTTTTGTATTTACTGCATGTATTATTGCACTGAATGTTTGCAGAATTTCCCTTAACTGATGTTGCATTGCCTTGTTTCTTGTGAACAATGAAATAACTATAAGCTTGCTGTAACTCTAGAATTTCATAGTGTATATTTGCTTCACTAATCTCTGACCTTTTTTGCTAATGCTGCATGATTGTTCAACCTGGGGTACCAGGACGCTGCATTGGGATACTGATCCATCAGTTCTTCAGCTCCACTCTGATTCCGATCTGGGGTATTGCATAGATTTCTTATATTCCCTCTTTCATGTACTTATGGATAATAAGTATGAGCGTTTTTTCCTTTAAGACTTGTAGTTGTTGTTGTTAAGAAACTGTTTTGTAAGTAATAGAAATTCGCTGTCCCTAGCACAGTTTGCTTGCAATGAGAAATTTTTATATCATTTAATATACATTAGATGCTTATTTCTAATAAACACAAATAAGTTTTGTTTTCTTTGAGTCTTTCTTTGAGAAAATATAAACTTTAAGGAGTTACTTATTTAAAATAAAAAGGTTATAGCATGACTGTAAATACAGAGCAACTCCCGTATTTTCTTAGAAATATGTTTATAAAATCTGTAGCTCATTATAAACACTAACTAAAACCTGTATTGCATGCTAAAAATTATGATTCTGCCCACCAAAATCTTTCAAAAGGAGTTACTCTTCTGCTTTTATCTTGGGAGAGAAGTGGATAATAAGAAACTAAATCTGAGCTAGGTAAATAGTTGGATCATTGCAGTATTATTACAGTACATACTGCAATTAGGTTTTACAGAAGGCTACAGTGGCTGAATTAATGTTGTGGAGGTGTTGTATGATGTTAGCTATAGCTACCTTTAATAAAGTCAGAAAGCTCAGAGGTTTTCAGTATTGTGCTCTGAAACAATGTATTATGGATAAATCATTTGTCAGTGTGAGTTCCAGGACAGCCTGACAGCTCTGCATTCCAGAGAGTACCTTAGAGGTGGACTGAAAAGAGCAGCAAAGTAAAAGACTAGGAAATGCTTTTTCCATCAGCATAACTAAATTGGTTTTCAAGCTTTATAATCCTGGAACTGTTGCTGTACGAGCATGACTTGTGAGTAGATCTGTACCTTTAATAATACAGATGTATCATATAGGTGGCAGTATTCTGGTCAAGCACAAAGAGCAAAAATCCAAAATTATATCATAATGTCCAGATATTTATATGTGTACATCGTCCTTTTTGTCACAGATCTATAAATGTTTGCTGATTTTAAATAATAATGATAAAAGAGTGGTTGTAATCATGTGACTTCAAAGTTTCCACTGGATTTAAGTTTGACTAGGCAGTGCTGTGACATAATGACTTGGGTATTCTAGGCAAAATGTGAAATAATAATTTATTTTATTATTTTTTTTAATTAATTTTATTTAGACGTGGACCTGTTAAACTTGGAATGGCCAAAATTACACAAGTTGACTTTCCTCCTCGAGAAATTGTTACCTACACAAAGGAGACACAGACACCTGTTATGACTCAGCCCAAGGAAGGTGAATGGTTAATTTATTACTATTAAGTTATTTTTGGTTTCTTTTAATGTAATAATGATGACCACCAGCAATTAACCCCCCTACTTCATAAGAATTTAAATTTTTATACCTGAAGCTTTTACTTTGAGTTTTAAAAGAAGGAACTAATTTACTTATAACTTATGCAGTTTCTGTTTTCAGCAATTGAACACAGGCTTTCTTTCAGTCACAAATTGTTTGCTTTTCAAAAAATAACTTTTTACAACAAAAATGTGGTTGGCTAGCAGATTTCCTTTTCAATGATGAAACACCTGAATTTATCTGAAAATGAAAGTATTAGTCCTGAACTAGATTGTGTGTATTTCTACAACAAAGTCTCTTGGTTGTTTAATATCACTGACTTTGAGTATGTGTCTATGTTAGCAATTTTAGGTCCTACTTCTACATTCATAATTTTGCATTTTCCTGCTCTTTGGTATACAAACTTTTGTGTATTTATGCAAGGATGTATCTTTCAAACTGAATTGCTCAGTGAGCCAGAGGATATGATTTTTCTCTAACTGTGTTTCTTTTCTATTCTTCATTTTATCTGTATACCTGCACAGGTAGGTGTTTGTGGTTTTCCTGCTTTCATTTCTTCCATGCCCTCAACATTTCCTTTCTCTAATCCCTCAGGTCTTTTTTCCTCCCCTCTGTCAGGTTCATGGAATCTGAAGACTTAGGTCACAGTTTATGTACTTGAAGAGTTCTACTTCTGCTGCCTGCTGACAGTGGAAATTGCTTGGGATTGTATGATCTGAGTTTCACAGTAGATAGGCTGTAGTTGAGGCTTGCTGTAGTGGAGTGGAACAGTGGTCATCTCTATTTCTGCATTTACCAGAAAGCAGTCTCAATGCATGTATTGTCTCCTGATCCATTCCATCTTACAAATACCGATTTCTTGAGGACTGTCATAATTTTTTTCAATATATTTATTTCATGTGCTTCACAAAATTCACAGGTGTCTTTTCAGCATTTCAGTGAAGATCTTTTTAAGGGTTATCTCAAGACCACCTGAATACATTAATAACAAAGCTCTAAGTTCCCATTTTACAATGATAACTGAAATAGGATGTAGGTTTAAAAAAAAAGAATAAATCATGCTGCATACAAAAACCAGAGTCACTAGGTAAGAGATTTTTCTTGGTAAAAGAATTTAAAACTCTTGAAAACAATTGACAAAAGCAATATGCTGAATTTAAAGGATGCAATTAGATAAATCTAAATTCTGTAAAATGTATCTTATTGATTCTTATTTCTTCTCACAGTCTGAGTTGTGCTTATCTGTAAACAAAAATAACCTAGCGAAGTACACTTGAAAGGGGAGCTTACAACTGAACTTACACCTGCAGTAGCTCCCTTATCCAGCAGCAAGTTGCATCTGAGCTGGGTTGGCTCAGCATTCACAGCTTCCTATAAAGTGAAGTAAACTGGGCCCTTCATAATATATTTTGAGATTTTAAAATGCTGTTGGAGCTGTGCTCTTGAATAAGGAAAATAGCAGTTTTATTAAATTGTGTTAACACTTGGTTTGGTGGGGAGGGACAGCACATGAAATAAAATTAACAAACCCACAGCAAATCACTAAATAGTTCTTTTTGTTCCAGTTCGGTGTGCTACAGTGGTTATGTAGTTCCATCGTAAGCTGAATTAAGAAACATTTGAAGCAGTCTGCCTGGTGGACAGATAGGAAGTAAACTAGTTTTAGATAAAAACCATTTCTAGTTGTTATGGAAATATTTGTGGCAACACATAACACCAAGTGAATTAAATAGGAGATACTTCATGTCCTCAAATAAGACTTGGCATTTTGAAATGCCTGTTTTGGAGTCCTGTAACAGTTAAATTAATTTTGAAATGTGGCAGCTTCCTTAGGAGATGAAGGCATTTAGTGTTCTAACAGTTTTCACAACTTCCATTATTTCATTGCAGTACTAATATGTTGGTTTATTATGACTTCAAAGTATTTGAGAAACTGCCTTAGGAAGATTGATTCTTAAATATTATAAAACAATAAAATCAGAATGTCTCCTAGGAATCAGTTAATCCAAAGAAAGATGTGTGTATAGGGGAATGTGATTTTGCTCAGCTATCACAATTAAGGCTTTCCAGGACTAACTGGGTACTTGTTACTTAGTGCTCCTGTACAATACTGTGCATGTGCAGTTGCAGCTGACTGCAGACAGTGTTATTGCATTTATTTCACTCTTTGAGGAATAATTGTCTGCTAACATCTCCAGGACACAGAATTAAAATATTAAGCAGAGTAATAAAAATAGGATGCATAGGATTTGCTTCTTGGATGCTGGTACAGTGAATGCAGGATTTATATATTCATTTTAATATTTTTTAAGAAATAACAAGGATCATGTATGATCTTTGTGGGTCCCTTCCAACTCAGAACGTTCTGTGATTGTACATGCCTTAAATGTACAGAAATACAGATAGGGAACTTGATGTGAAGACATTTGGCTTAACAAAAGCCACCCATTTCACAGATGATTTAACTTTGATTAACCTTCTCTGCAGCAACAGATTGCTCAGACAACTGGAACTACACTCTACAGTGTTATTGCTAGGTGCAGCCTAATTTACAGCACTGTTTTTCCTTCTGTCTTGCCAAAATATATCACAATTTTTATGTTAACTCAAAGTAAAAATTCAGTGGTTCATTAAATCTGTTTTTAGCATTCATTGGCAAGACATTTGTTGCTATTAAAGTTTGCATGGAAATAGCAGCTACTTTACTGCTCAGTTTGTAACCTTAGATCCCCTGATTGCCTGTCAGAAACAACATGGAGTTAATCCCTTAGCATATTATGATGAATATTCATTGATATGTTGATGTGACATATGGTTCCATTTCCTGTCTTCATGGCCCTGGGACTTTTCCAAGTCTTTGCAGCTTTTTTTTTTAATCTGAAATCATATTTGGTACACTGACAATTGAAGTTGCTTAAAATGCCAGTAGGTACAGTCAATAATGAGTAAGGGGGGATGCAGTTAGGGACTGCCCTTAAGGTTTCAAATTTAGGTAGCTGACTTGAGATAAATGCAGTGCATGACGGTATTATGGGTTCTTGACTTACTAGACTGGGACTTTTTCAGAAATAGTATGTCCAGTGCTTCCGTGTTTGCTGGGTGCTCTGTTATTGTTATGCTAATTCTTTGCAAATTCTGGCATCTGGTCTGCTATTAAATAAATTCAAGATGAAGGTGAGACAGGAAAAGTAATTAAAACAAACATTACTTACCTCGTTTTTCAGTCCAGCCGCTTAATGGTGCCTTTTTTGTGAACTGTGAGAAAGATTCCTGGGTTTGGAATAGAAAGCATTCTAGTTTTAGATAATTAGGTAAAAAACTTGTATATTTGGGGATATTTTTTTATTTTGGCTTTTTTTTCCCTGCAGATCCCTTAATAAGAAAGTTTGCATGTGACTCTTCTGTAGAGAGAAGGTTTTAGATTTATACAGTTGCAGATAAATCAGTGAGATGACATGTTCAATTTCAAGTCTGATACTTTGAGAATATTAAAATAAGTGCTGTATCCTGCATTTAAATACAGTAATATCAGCTGGCTGTATGCAGTAAAACTACTATGAAGGAATTTAGAGCTCTGTATAATATATGCCATTTATGTTTCAAACATTAAAAGGCAAGAGCAATCAACTTACATGATCTTTTGAATAAAATATGTAGATTAGAAGGTCATATAGCACTAAGGGGTTGACCATCCACGTTTGACAAGAATTTGACTCCTGTCACTGAAAATGGTACTTAGAATCAGTGTAGTATGACTGATGGGGGGTTGGACTGAAATTCCTAATTTGGGACGTTCAAAGCTAGACTAATGTATCCAGAGTGACCCAAAACCAAATTTCTAAATTTGAAGGCATCATTTAATTCTGCAAGATTGATTGGCAGGGCGAAAAAGGGGGAATTTTATCCAAGTGGCCGTAATTTGAATATGTGATCCTGTATGTGTTGTTCTCAAAGTCATGTGTGTTAACTCATATTACATTTTTTAATTAATCATTGTTCACACCTGTAGCTATTTGACATTAAGAATTCCCTTCTTTAAAATGGCCACAAGTTATCCAGTTTTCAGGTTACGAGTCCACTGTGCATGCGAATCCATCGAGAAAGGAGCAGTGTCTTTCTGTTTCTTTGCGTGATTATTTTGCCCAAAAAAGCTTTCATTTTTTTTAAGTAGCACAAAAGCTGTAATTGGCATGCTTTGTAAGGAAGTGTCAATGTGCAAGAGAGTGGAGATCACTAAGAATTCTTTTACGGGTTCTTTCCCCTTTGCACCACCGCCTCCTCAGCAGGGTCACTGAGATCACTAGCTTTTCTTGAAATGGCCATTTTCACTGGCAGGTGCATTATACCCTGTATTTTCAGATTGTTTTTCCATTCTGAATGTTTGGCAGGTTGATTGCTCTGGCTGCATTGACGGAGAAAGGGCTGACAAATGCAGTTGGGCTGGCTGAAAAGACAGTGATTACTGTTTTCCTTTGTGGCTGATTGAGGCCCTTGAAAGGAAAGATTTTAACCTTCACCATTTGGTTCAAAAGTATGAGCATATATTGAAATCATTCATGCCATTTATCCTAGTTCTGTAAACTTGTCAGAACATAAAAATCGCTCAATTTCAAGTAATGTAGGATTGGCATACGTCATTATCATTTTGATTAAGTTGGAGTTTGTATTATTGTGTGCATTATACAGTGTCATTTAAAGCTTTCTTTCCTGCAGGTACAGTTATATTTTTATTGCCTATACTATGGAGTTAGAAAGATTTTCAGACCTCTTTAAACCTATCACTATGTGTGTGGTTTGGCAGCTGGTATGGCCTACAAGCTGTATTTTGTTTGCAGGGTAAAGGCTTGTCTGTAGACCTCCTGGAGTGCTGGTAATTGCACAGGCTTGCCATTGGGGAAAGACATGATTGGAAGCAGTCAGGCAGAAAAATGTTGTGCCATCCCATTGCCACCTCATAGCAGAGAGACAATCCTTGCAGTACCATCTGGTTGTTGCTATCTAGTCAGCTGGCCTGGCTGCTGGGACCGTGGCTTGGCAGCTGGTTCCCATCCCTTGACCACTCCTTTTTTTTTACTCTTTTTGTGTGCATGCATGTGGATTTTTTTTATTTTTTTTTACTTTTTGTATTAGATAACTTTGAACATGGGTCGGGGAGATGGCTGCAACAAACAAGCCTAGTCCCTGTCGAATACTGTCTCATTACTTGTGATGAGGCATGCAGCAGTCTCCGGCTGCCATTCCCTTATAAGCAGATGACGTAGCTGTTTAACCTATAAAAACAAGTCTTTTCAAAAGCTTATTCTAGAAAGTGGATGAAGAAAAGCCAGCATATCCCACAATTCTAAGTAATTTAAAGGTATTTTCTGGTTTACAGTATTCAAAGAATAAAATGCGGGAATGCAGAAAGTGCTGTAAGCCTTGTCAGTATTCCTGAACATTAACATTTTATGTTATTCATTGCAATTAGGGAAAACACATTTTCCTGTAAAGTTCTCATTGCCAAACATGATACAGATAATGAGACTTGCATCTAGAATGACAGAAAAAATGTAATCTCTCTGCTATTATCTTTAGCAAAATTTGCCTCTCAGAATAGCAACCTGAAAGCTAATGTAAGCCATCTTCATGCCATGTGCAGACCCATTAGACTGATGCTTTCAGATCATAAGTAAGCAGCTGCTCTGTAGACTATTTTAGACATCTGATTTTTCTTTATTCCACAGCATTAATGTGTCAGTGTGTTACACAGAACATGAATCCACCGCATGGTTCTGTGTGGAATCATAAATGCCTGTAAGACAGATTTCCACTTTGGATTCTTTACAATTTCCTGTGTGTCTTATTTCTGTTTATGCAGTTACATAACTCAGTGCAACTGATACCCAGGTGGAGACAGTGTTCCAATGATATTTTGGTTTGTGATAATGTTATCCTTGGCACTACATTTTACAAATGCAACCATTTTAAGCTACATGATACCATTTTACATCAGCTTATTTGAGATTCATATAGAATGTTACTGTCCCCCTTTAGAAACACTGACTGTCTCACCATGTTTCTCCTTAGATGAGGAAGAGGAAGATGATGTGGTTGCACCAAAACCATCAGTTGAACCTGAGGAAGAAAAAACATTAAAAAAAGAGGAGGAGGAAGAAGGTACTGTTCACCTCAAGACATTCTGAGTGTGCTGTAAAGAAAGCCATCAATACATTTTTTAACTTTTTGTTCCATTAATTTAAAATCAATTTCATTGTTAAATACTAATTAGCCAGAAAACCATAAAATGCAAAAACTATTAAAAATCATGATAAATACTGTTTTTCTTTCTTGATTGGTGAAAGCATGCAGTCTAGAACATGTCTGTATAAATTTATTTCAGCTGCCCCTCATGAGCTCACAGAGGAGGAAAAGCAACAAATTTTGCATTCGGAAGAATTTTTAAGTTTTTTTGACCACTCCACAAGGATTGTTGAAAGAGCCCTTTCTGAGCAAATCAACATTTTCTTTGACTACAGTGGAAGAGACTTAGAGGACAAAGAAGGGTAATGTGAATGTTAAATACTTTTCTGTGAATTTCCAATACTTTTAATTGAAAAAGTGATCTAAGATTAATGTCTCCTAATTGTCTTTATAGAGAGATTCAAGCGGGAGCAAAACTGTCCTTAAATAGGCAGTTTTTTGATGAACGTTGGTCAAAGCATCGTGTTGTCAGTTGTCTGGACTGGTCATCTCAGGTAATAAATAATGTTTCAAGTAAAGAGTTGACTTTGTAAATTGTTGTAGTTCTGTGCATTTGATTCCCATAAAAGTACAGTTGATACAGGCTGTATTTCTAAATGTGTTTCTTATGTGCTCCATGGTTTGAAAAAAGTAAACAGAGCTCTTAATATTTTATGAAAGGTAGCAAAAAGTTTGTATTGTGAAGAAAGTTGGTTTTGGTTTATGAACTGCTTTGTGGAGATAGCTTCACTAAAAAGAAAGCTCACTTAAAAGTAATGGGTTTTAGAGTTAAAAGAAAGTTATGATGAGAGAGCAAGACTAAATGTGTATGTTAATGCTGGTTTAGGAGCTAAATTAGCAACAATTGCAGTTTTAACTAACTATTTTTCATGCCTTTATAATGCAAGGTGTTTTTTTAACCCTATTTTGGCAAAAGAAAACAAAGATTCCAGGATTATCTGGACCATTAGCCAGTCATCTTGCTTATTTGAGTCTCTTTCGCTTACCATGCAGTATCCAGAATTACTTGTAGCCTCTTACAACAACAATGAGGATGCGCCTCATGAGCCTGATGGGGTGGCCCTTGTATGGAATATGAAGTACAAGAAAACTACTCCAGAGTATGTCTTTCACTGCCAGGTATGATTCTCTCTTGTGAGGAATTTTATGTTGATGAATTTGTATGCACTTTCCTTATCTTTGTCAATATAATAATTTAATCGGGCTGGAATTTGCTTTAACAACATTTATTTGCCAACAGATGTTGATAGCTAGAGACTTCAGCTGAGAAATACTATTCTGTTTCAGAATTTCTGACATCATTCAGAATTCAGTCTTGTTTGAGAGCTTCTTTTCCTTTTTTTTATTTAAAAAACAGGAAAACTTTCTTGTGTACTGGTTGAACCACAAAGGTTTGTATGTAAGGGGCTTCAGTGAGATTGTATACTACAGCTTAGTTTACTGAATAAAATGAAGACAGCCTGAGGAAATGGAACGAGGATGAAAGCTAGAGACATGCATCAAAAAAAAAGGCAGATAGAGCTTTTCCAGTAGTTTTCTGAAAGATAAAAACATGCAAATCTCTTCCATTATGCCAAGCCCATGATATCCACATTTTTCCCATCATTTTGGAAAATTACACAGTTGAATCAAAATTTAACCTCATGTTGTCACATTACTGTCAAAGACCAGATTGCAAAAGTAACTCTGTTATATCAAAATGTATTTCTACATTCTCTAAGAAGTAATGACTACAGAATGTGGCAAAACATTATTAAAATTTTGTGTTTTATTGGGCTTTCCTTTGCTAATAAACTATGCTAGGAGGAATAGATGTATGAGTGTGAAAGAGGAGCACAATTTCATTTTATAAATTGAAGCAAAAAGACTATTGAGGGGTTAAAAAGGGTGGGTGAATCCTTAAATAACTGGGCAATGAAATAATGTGCTGAATAAATTTAGGCAAAGAAGTTTTTCTGATATTTGGCCTCATTTCCTTTAGTTTTAGACATAGTGTCACTGAATGATAATTCAGTGTTTGGTGATGTTTTTCTTCCTTTCAGTCGGCAGTGATGTCAGCTACATTTGCAAAATTTCATCCCAATCTGGTGGTTGGTGGCACATACTCGGGCCAGATAGTGCTGTGGGATAATCGCAGCAATAAGAGAACCCCAGTGCAGAGAACGCCACTTTCAGCTGCTGCTCACACGGTAGGAGGTGAAATATCTTCAAGGACTGTGCCCTGTTGAAATGTGTTTAATGTCTAGTAAATTCTGTCCAGTGCACTTGATATTGGCAGTGCTTAAATGTTTATGTCCATATTTTGACACTTAGGAACCAGGCTATTCGTAAAAACCAGAGTGTCAGAAAAAACAAGTATCAGTTTTGTAGGGGAATATAATTTGTACTTTTGATTGGGATCAATCTTTTGTGCTTTGTTAAATGGTGAAGTTGTATATTTTACTGTAAATTAATTATATCAGAACTGGCTATTACGTCTAAATTATTTTCTGATAATACTTTGTTTTTTAGCACCCAGTGTACTGTGTAAATGTTGTTGGGACCCAGAATGCTCATAATTTGATTAGTATCTCAACTGATGGGAAAATATGCTCTTGGAGTCTGGATATGCTTTCCCAACCACAGGTAAGATAACTTTTGAGATATATACATATATATATATACATATATATATATAGTATCTATTCTAGATTAATATTCTATTAAAAGTTCAGTTGATCTAATAAACATTAATCAACATTTTCCCAACACATAGAATTAAGGTATCTTGATATTTGATAAAATATTTCCCCAGCTGTGGAATCAAATATTTTCTGTTGTTTCTTTTGTATAGTTTTGGTGTACTTGTGTTAGTGGTGAACACAAATGTAGTAAGAAAACTTCCTTATTACTGCCCAACCTAACCAAGTAAAATAAAAAGAAATCCCTTCTGTTGTAAAATCTGAAAGATTTTTGTAGATGTAAATAATTATTTTTATAAAGTAAGTTGCTGGTATTTTCACTACAGGATAGCATGGAGCTGGTTCACAAACAGTCCAAGGCTGTGGCTGTTACCTGCATGTCTTTCCCTATTGGAGATGTCAACAACTTTGTTGTTGGCAGTGAAGAAGGCTCAGTGTACACTGCATGCCGTCATGGCAGGTGAATACAAACTTTAATTCTTCAAAGGAAATAAAAATAGTGAAAGGATGAGTTCCTGAATGCTTTACACTCAAAATTTTTGAAGTTCATACTTTCTCCTTTGCACTGAAGAAGTTCAGAGTATCTCTCTGAATTTCAGTGCGTTTTTTCCTGAGCAAGAGCTTCATTAAAAACCAAAATGGTTGGAATTCTGAATTGGTATTATGAGTTGTTTGTGTCGAGGGCAGCACAGGTCACTGTGGTTTTATTCATTTGAATTGTAGCAGAACATTCCAAACTTCGTATCAGTTTTGTAGATAATTGTACAGTAACATCACGCACAAATCTTAAATTGGCTAGCTGTTCTCCTGCTGTTCAATCTATTTTGAAATTGTCTGACTGTATCTTATCAATTGCTTTCTTAAATATAATTGAGTGTCCAGGTTTCATCTCAAATACACATCACCTTGCTGCACAGCTTTTTTGGTTCCAAAGTACCCAAAATTGTATCACTTTTGTGTAACATCCTTCCCATCTGTTTCCCTTCTTTTTCATCACCCCTGAGAGGAGTCTATTAGGGATATATTGTTACTGGTTTATGTCTGAACCTCGTGCCCTTGAAGTATATGCAACTTCTCTTAATTTAATGGGAGTTTTAGGCTTATTCCTGAGACTGAATTTTGTTGTTTGTATGAATTGAAGTTGTAGTTATTGCTTAGAGCACAATGTAGTTAAATGTGTGGACTGATACCTGGATGAGTCTCCTGTCCCTAGGTTATTTTGGCACTTACAGTTAGTAGAAAATACATGTTGAACTTAAGGTCTGTTTTCAAGCCTGGTCTTCTGTGATCCTGCTGTAGTGAAGCCTTTTGCAGTGGGGTAACATCCATATAAGGCAGCAAAATCTTGTGGCTGTATTTAAATTGCATTTCAGTGCTATCTCTGTCTGCAGATGTTTGGTTGCCAAATCAATTAACCTTGGTTGTATATTCTGAAACAGCAAAGCTGGAATCAGTGAGATGTTTGAAGGACACCAGGGACCAATCACTGGTATCAACTGCCATGCAGCAGTTGGACCTGTAGACTTCTCACATCTTTTTGTCACCTCTTCTTTTGACTGGACAGTAAAGCTTTGGACAACGAAGGTAACTTAGATAGTTCAGTGGTTTTCTTCATAGCCCTTGACACAAGGTGGTGCTGTAATGTAAGCTACTTAAGGAAGTTCACAAACCTGAAGTCAAATTGTGTGAAGTTGTGGGGTTCTTAGCTGCAGTCCTGCAAAGAGGAGACAGCTGATGAGCAGAACTAAGATTAACAGCATAAAACTTTGCTTTCAGCTTGTACATAATTTGTATATTTCTGATCCATTCTTTTCAACCTTTTGCCCTTTGTTATCAACAATGATTACAATGTAATCAAATGTAAATCATGTTATAAAGTCAATTACCTCATGTATTCATAAGGCAAATGTTTTGCTACAATTTTGTGGAGGACTAAGGGATGGCACCAAAACTAATATCAATTAAACTTGATGAGGCTCACAATTGATATATATGTCATTTCCATTGCCAGAATTACTTCTTTCACTATTAGACTGATGCCCTGAGAAATGAAAAGCAGAGGAAGCAGATTTAAAATCTGAGTAATAGTCACTGAATTATCATTGGCTAGATTTACAAGATTATTAAAGCATTAAATTTACAATTTACAATTGGCTTGCTATTGATTGTTTTATAATAGCAGCTTATTGAGTGCATGCTTTGGAAAGCATATCTTTAATAATAAAAAGCATTAGATTTTGACTGATTTTTGCAGTGGCATTTTTTTAAAACAAGTCAAAATGCAAATCACGTTTTACTCATTGCTGGTCATACTGTTGAAGTTCTGTATTTTGCTTTACCTGTTCATTTTATAATTTTGAAATGTAGGGTTTGGTTATTACATTGTTGTCTTTGCTTCTTTTCAGAATAACAAACCTCTCTACTCCTTTGAAGATAATTCGGATTATGTTTATGATGTGATGTGGTCTCCAACTCACCCTGCCTTGTTTGCCTGTGTGGATGGGATGGGCAGGCTTGACCTGTGGAACCTCAACAATGATACTGAGGTGAGAAGTCAGGTTAATGGTCAAATGCAGCTGGAAAATTGTTTATACAAAACAGAAAAATTTGGGTGTTTACCACAGTTTTGCATTTTTTTTTACCATAGCTTGTTTTTTTGGTTTTTTTTGTTTAAAATATGCTGTCGTTCCAGTAGTTTCTGTGTAGTAGATAGCATTCTTTGATTACAGGGTTACAAATGACTCCCATGAATGAATAACAGAAGTAATTGAATTGTTTTACCTATAACAAGAGAGACCAAAACATCTGTTGGTGTAACGCTGATCCATGTTGTGAAAGTGATTATAGACCTCCCACCCTGAGGCCTTGTCAGCCTACAGCTTAACAGTGTGAACAAAGCTGTTACCACACACCACCACTGTTCCTATTGCCACAGTAACACTGCAGTGAAAGTGCCATTTGTTTCTAACTTAGTGAACTGAATGTTTGGTTTTCTGGTGTGAGTTATAAACTTCATTATAGCAGAAAACTTTTCCAAGATTTGCTGGAGGTAGATCAGAGGAGAAGCCTGACAGATACTTAGTATTTAAATTTCACCATCTGAAAAGTACATATAGAAGAAAGTTGTAGGACCATATGCCAGCCTGTGTCTTTAAATTGGAATTACCTATTCTGGCCTTTTGGACAGGGCTTGACCTGCCAAAACAGCTGATTTCATCCCTGCCCTGTCATAATCTTCCTCAGATCCCAGGGTGCCTCGTCACTGCCTGAAAGCGTGTCTGTGCCTCCTGTCCCACAAGAAGAGTGCAGATGTGCCTTTCGATAGCAGATGTTTGGCCAAGGGACAGATGTGTTGTTTTGGTCATGTCACTGGGGATAGCTTAAGGCCACTGAGGTCTTTGTATTGTGAACAGACTTTGATCTGTGTACCATGCAGTGGTTGAAGTGTTGGGCACTTTTGATGCAGCACAGATGGCCTAGGTGTGTTCTGTCATCTCTAGTTTATGGAAACCTGATGCATTTTTAGCAGTGTGTTTCAAATTGGTACAGGTGCCCACTGCAAGCATCACCGTGGAGGGCAATCCTGCTCTGAACCGTGTGAGATGGACACATTCTGGGAGAGAGATTGCTGTAGGTGATTCAGAGGGACAAATAGTTATATATGACGTGGGAGAGGTATGTATGTCCTATATGGTGCAATGTATATTGCAAAACACTAGGGTTTCTTTATTTAGCAGTTTGCCTTTCACTTTTTTCTCTTGTCATTAGAGGAATAATAATTAGGTTTAATTTGTATTTTTTAATTCATATTTCCTAGTAGTGTTTTATTTATGGTGTTCTAGCATAAATTTTTAGCGTGCTGCCATCCAGTCAAAAAGAAAAAGCTTTACTGTAAGGCTGGTGAAATAAGAATCGATAGTTTTTTCATAGAAATTTTATCTTCTGTGTAACTGTGGCACATGTGAATTCTGATCCTAGCTTGAGAAGTACTGAACAATAAATTCTGCCGTGGAGCAGCCTTGATTTTGTTCTTAGAAGGAAGCTGTTGCTATTGCAAGTATGTGTACTGCGATAGTACATGACTAATTGATGGGATGAGGATATAGCATTAGTATTCCCTTTGAAGGCAGTCTCTCAAGTGGAGATACATAGCACAAGCCTGAAATAATATCATTTTGTACTTCAATGCGGGAGTCTCAAATTCTGCTTCTTTCATTAGTTAGAGCTTTTGATGCTTACAGTAAATAACTACAAGCTTATCTTCTGGAACTTCTTCTGAACATTAAGTGCTCTGCCCTTGAAAGTGAGCTCAGCTCTGTTTATCAGGAGGTTTCAGTAACACTCTCTGTGTCACAGCAAATTGCTGTTCCTCGCGGGGACGAGTGGACCCGGTTTGGCCGAACGCTGGCAGAAATCAACGCCAACAGAGCTGACGCAGAGGAGGAGGCTGCAACCCGCATCCCGGCGTAGAGCCTTCCAAACAGGCCGCAGGGCTACACTTGGCAATGATTGGATGCAAATCCTAGTGTGTCAGTTCTAATCACAGCTTAGGGGAGGAATATATGGATTCAACAGTGGACTTTGAAATGTATTAAGATTAATAAAAATCAGATCTTGCCATGTTATGTTTTATATGAAGTACAAGCACATTCTGGATTTGTGGAACTTTTAATACAGTTAACATTGACTTTGCAAGGATCTTCTTTTGCTGAAACACTAATCTGGTATAAATTTGCTACTTGGTTTCTGTAAAGTCCAATCTGAAACAGTATCTTTCTGAAAAGTAAAAGTTCTGCTCCTAAAACTTTTTCTGTATTACAGACTAACCTTCATTAGGTAGAAAATCTCTGAAGCATTCTTTAATTTGAATTCTTCAAATTACCCATCATATGCATGCATATGTTCTGAGTTTCATTATTTATATATAGATAAGCCTCAGACTCTGGTAGTGGGTAATATACGTGAATAAAAATTTGTCTGTAGTTACAAACCTATGTGATAATCAGACCTGAATTAATGAATACATATTTAATACCAATTTCCTTTTGTTTGAACTGATGCATTAAAAGGTGAGACTGATTCATAAATAAATACTATACAAGCACTTGTCAGCTGCCCTGACCACTAATCTGTGTAGTTTAAAGTTTCGGGGAGCTGATCCTTTTGTTTTGCTGCACACATCACAGGCTTGTTCTCTACCCCCAACCACCCCTTACTGCCATGGCAATTGGCCAATAGCAAAAAGGCTCCTGTTATCAAATTTTTCTTTTCCAAAGGATAAGGAACTAGACTTTAAGTTAATTTCTATAGCATGATGATTCTTATTCTGTTAACTACAGACTTGCTATTAATTTTCTGTACAAAGATGTTTATTATTATTTTTTAACATTTTTATTGAAACAAAATTTCTTAATGGCTTGAAACAGAACGGTCAGACTTTCTGTGTTAAAGGTTACTTTTTTCTTTCTTAGCATATTATAAAGTTTTCTATCAAGATGGGTTGCAGAGGGGCTGTTTCTTTTGGTTTTTGGGTTTTTTTTAAATAAATACTGTGAGTTTTCGTCATTAGACACTAAATCAGTTTTGTAGTATTTAACTTCGGACTCTATATTTGTTCTTAATCTGTTACAAGCTCATTGTTTTGCCAGAAGAGCTAGTTTTGTATGCTTAAAAATAGGAAATAGGTTTATATTCCTTAATTACTTTCATGTCCAGTAATGTCATTGTTTCTTTCTTGTTAAACTTTTCTGTTTAGTTTTGAGGGTTTTTTTCCTCTTTCTCCTTGCCTTAGTTCTGTTATTATGAGCAGCTTGTAGAGACACAGCAGTTCTGTCTCAGAAAGTTTTCTTTATTGGCAGGTCTGGAAGTGAAATGTGTTTAGGCTTCCATTGGTGGAAGTGTGTGTCCCTGCCTTTTGAATGCAGCCATGCTGCTCAGTTTGCAGGCATTTATCCTGTGTGTTCTGCTCAACCCTACAACAGCAGCATGTGAACAGAGTAAGAACAGGCACATCATGAGATGATTTGTACCTTGAAGCAAAAGAATTCTTAATAAGCACAAGGTCTCTTGGTTTGATGGTTTTGGAGGGAGGGGGTGTTCAGGTTTTTGGTTGGTTGTTCTTGTGGGTTTTTTAATTGACATTACTTTTCATTGAGTAATACATTTCCCTCACACTTTTATTTTCAGAAATCCAGTAGATAAGGCTTTCTTTCACACACATGCAGGTCATAGGCATTAGTTTTGTGTAGTTTCAACCTTCTAATAATTTTCATCTATTAAATTTAATGCTACTTAATTCCTGCTTGTAGTCTTCTGGTCCTCCCTCACAGAATAGTTGACTACAAATTAAAAATGTTGTAAAAGCCATACCTGCAATCTTGAAACCAAAAGTGATGCTAGATGCTGTTAATGAGGATTTTGGGAGCCAAACAATCCAGTTTTGGAGCTGCAAGAAATACAAATGCTGTGTGCATTGTCAAGTCTCCTAAGGCCTTGATCCTAAGGCAGTCAGCAAGCTGTGATTAAGACCAAATGCCATTTTTATCACTATTTAGAAAAGTGCAAGACAAATTTCATAGATACAGGAGAGTTCCCAGAAGCCAGTCTCTATCCAGAAACAGTACAGAACAAGAAATTCCTTAAACACAATACAACAAATAAAGAAGGAAGCCTTCTAATGTGCTTATCTATATTCATGTTGTAGACTAGTAATCAAACCTCCAAGATCAGTGTATTGTAACCTCTGGCTTACTAAATATTATTCAGCACCAAAATAATTTTTGTCTTCCTTAGAGGTTAGAGCTGGAGAAGGGCTGGACTGTTTAGTGTTCAGTTTTTAAGAAGCCATTTCTTCATAAAATGACTTAATCTCTGATGGGCCTGCTGTCACCTAAGGAAGAAAACAGAACCTGACATTGGTTTATACCACTTGGATATGCTCTATTCCAGGATGTTTAACCCTATAAGAAACATGTAAAACTTCAGTAAGCAAGGCTGGAAACCACCCATCTCATCTGTGGCTGCAATAACAGTGTGACTAATTTTCCTCCATGACAGCAGAAATCTAAACTCCCATATTTCCCCTGACATTTTTGTATTTAAATATTACACCGGGGAAACTTTTGGCAGACACTAAGCCATAAATAGTTCAAGCTTTCACTTTCTCTTCTCCTTTTACTTCCACTCACCTGTAAATATAAACAATCAGTTTTCCATATAAAAATAACACAAAAGTAGGTTTTTTCCCCCATGCAGAATAATCTAATCTCATGGTAAAACAATCTAGAAATAAAGAGAATGCTTTCATTTTTTTATAACAAGTTTTCTATTCTGGAAAAAAAGGCACTCTGTCTAAGAAACCCTGTAAAAATTCTTGAGTGTGTTAGTAACTGGCAAATTTCTCACTGTGTTTTGAATATGCTATCATAGAAGTAATATCTATTACACATTTAGTATTGCCATCTATTTTGAGAGAATTCTTTGTCACAAAATAGTGCTGCAAAATAAAATATTGCATGTGCTCATCTAATTACTGTGTTCTCTAACACGAGCCAGCACATTGCATTTCAATTCCTTCGCTGTAACTAGCAGCAAAGGGCATTCCTGCAGAGGCTCTGTCCTGTCCTGTCCTGTCCTGTCCATTCATTTTGTGGCTGCATCTGATCTTCACATTTCCTCTGTGGAGGGCAAAACAATCATACTGGACAACTTCCTTTAAATTCAAAGAAGCAAACGGACGCAAGCGTTTTTAAACATTTTATTGTCACGATTGTTAACAAAACACTTTCAAAACATCTGTACATTTCAAACTATTCTGCAATGAACTGCAATACCCATTATATAAATGTACGTGTATAGATGCCCTGATGTCTCTGTACAAAGTTGTACAATATGTACAGTAACACTAAATGCAAGCTGTGCAAGGCAATGTCTAGGCTATAGCTTCATGCCACTGGTTAAAACAAGGCAGAGAACCACAGCTTCAATCAGTTCCTTGTGTGTAAATAAATAAATGCAGGTATATATGATTATTTGAAAGGAGCAATTAGATTTGCAAGCTCAGTTCAGCTAGAACACATGCAGCTGACTGGAAAAAAATACAGCAGTACTCTTGTGAACTCTTTCCACTTCATCACTTTGTTCATTTGAAACATCTTTTCAGGACTCAGCTGCTGCTGTGTGCTTGAGCTGAGGTGGTGGCAGGAGCTCGAAACTTTGGAAGATATAAACCAAATTTATTTTCTATACCAGCAAACGTAGCTGTAGCAAGTCTGTATCCTCCTATATGTGCAGGATTAACAGGAGGAAGATCTGAAATTCGTGTTTTTGGGGTAGATTCTGATCCAGTGGGTTTCCTGTTTGAACAAAGGGAAAAGGTCACTTTGTTACTAGATTTCATAAGAAAGGGCTTTAAATAGACTTATTCAGGCTTAAATACTTAAGTCTTTTGTCTGAATATGGAAGACTGTTAAAGCTGGCCTTAATTAATTGACTCCTATGGTGAAGTGAATGAGATCAGACCACTACTTAATTTTAAATAAAACCCAAAACTGAAGTTACATTTTTACTAATAATTTTTTAAAATTCTTTTTGATTCCAGTGTATTGAGGAAAATGGACAAAATTGCTGCCATGGAAATACAAATTAGTGTACTGAAATAAATACGAAATGGCTCTTCATCTCCTCACCTGTTTAGAAGTGGCATGCAAGTTTTCCCTCAATTATATAAGCATGGGGGAATTTTTTTGCATCCTACAATCTAAGTACAGGTGCTCAAAGTCAGTAAGTTTTAATGGCTCCCATGCATGAAAAAGTTTGGGGTTTTTCTTTAAATTTAGCAGTTGTTTTGTTCAAGCTAAATAGCAAATACTTGACTTACAGGCCTCCAAAATCAACATATAACCATCTCTGCAGAAGTTCGTAAGTGACCAAAGTAACACCAAACTGGGGTGAAGATCTGAACACACGAGCTGTTAAATATTAAAAATCATAGTGTTAAATAAAACAATTCCTCAGGAGAGAAGCTAAACATTTTTAACAAGGTGCTAGGTTTTTCACCATCAGACCTTGTAATCTGATTTCAGTCCTTAACAAAGCAAGTGCTAATTTGCGGATTTGGGGTCAGCCTTAATTTTTTTTCTCACCTCCAGCTCCCTTCCACAAAGCTGAAGGGCCTTCTTCCTTTAGAATCTTTCTGAAGCAGTCAATAACTCCACTGTATGTTGTCTGACCAGCGCGAGCTGCCACTTGCAGTCTTGTCTTGATGACATCAGCAGGGGTTACCAAAGAAGCAGCAGGCACACCTTTTAGAAGAAAACCACATTTAATTTGCACAGAGGATCTTGTAAAAGATAAAACACTTACAACTGAAAAATACAAGTGCAAACTTACATATTTTTTACAAGAGCTACACGTTACAAAAAAATACAGGTTCTTACTCTTAATGCTTATAAAACTGTCGTGCATGAGATAATAATTTGTCTTCTAAATTTTAAGGCTGAAACTGGTAGTAAAGGAAATAAATTATCAAAATCCACTCTCAGAATCTTCTAGTGGTCTAGCTGTAGTAGTAGTTTGAATCGAGACAGAATTGGCTATACATGTAATACATAAAAATTAGTTGTGTAAATTTACTGTATATGTTAATACTCTACAACATATTTTGCAGATTACATAGATGATTGATTTGGCAATTGAATCCTATGCATCCATCTGTTAAAGGTGTTGATGAGAAAAACTACTGCTTAAAACCCCTATTTTACAGAAATGTGTCTAAACAGCTGTTTGGACTGTTCTGTAGGAGAATAGATGCTGCTTACTTCAGTAGGCAAGCCATAAAAAGACTGAGGACAATGAAGGTGTTTTACAAGTCTGCTTAGTACCAACAGCGTGATATTAGCCAACAGTGATGGAAGAACAAATCTTCACTTCCAAGGCACCACTCTCGGCTTTCTAGTCAAAGGAAAGGAGAAAGTTTTCAGAAATGTACTCCACAGTATGTAACTGTGTTATCTGAGATATTTCTGAATACTTCTGAATACTATAAAAACTTCATCCCCCTAAAAAGAGGAACCATCTTCTGATTTAAAACCATGAAATTAATTTTGACTTCTGTTAAACTT